CATCTTGGAACTAGAGATCCACATTTATGGTCTCATGTAGATGATCAAATTATTTTAAGGTTTCACACTGCCATAACACAAGCAAGAATGTATTGTTCATTCTATGCCCTAGATACTTCTCGGTCATATAAGCAGAAAGTTAAACGTAGTTAATCCTTGTTTGGCTAAAATTGACTTTATGCAAAAGGATCAAACATGCTGTTGCTCGGATACATGCACATACTTCCATTTAATCGACCTACAACCTAGACATTTCAAAGTTGGTAACTTTTTTTCAGAATACATGAAATTTAGCAAATTAAAGGACTGTGATTCATTAATTGAACTAGAGTTGCTCCATGAAAAAGTATCCATATCTAGTGCAGATAATTCTCGCAAAACAACAGCTAGGGTGGAGTATAGTAGATCTGAAAGTTTGGTATTGAAGGAGATATGGAACTAAATGTTAACAGCAGCATAGACAGCAAAGGCCAGAGGCAAGCAAGGAAGACAGAGAGGAACATTTGGGACCCGTTTGGCCATAGATTTCCCAAGTAATATTTGGGGGGAAATTTGGCAAATAGTGTTTGTCCATACAATTTGCCATTATTTGGCAAATATCCCAAATTCCCAAATACTAGTTTTTTCTAGTATTTGAGCCAAATCTCATTATTTGGGATCTTTTAAAAATTGAAATTTTATACCAAACTTTTATCCTTTACAAAAACTCCCTCTATAGTAGTTGTTTGCGTTGTATTACATAATTTTTTACGTGAACACCAAAGTAGTGATGAAATATTCAGTGAATATGAAAGTGATGAACAATCGGTCCAGGGTACCAAAGTCATGTGCTTTGTCTACTTCACGATGTATAGAATGATGCTTGTTGCACTCACTCAGTGGCAAATTTATAGCCAAAAAATAGGGCATCCGCACCCGTGGTTTCTTCGTAAAATTAGATACTTTATATATATATTTTCTAAATTTGTATAATATCATATTCTTGCACCCGTACTACGAACAGTCTAAATGGTCCACATGATTAAATATTGAGCTTTTGACCTTGAGGATTAAGGATTAATTTCCACTTCAATAGATTTTTACTTGGTGCACCCCTGTTCGAAAAATCCTAAATTCGCCTCTGCACTCACTCCACACACCACATTGCTCCAGTTTCATGGACACTACTTGTTATTCGTTGCAACAAAGATCCAACTGACTTGTAATACAAACTTATGGTTAGTTTTGATAGTTTTTAAAACTTATGAGTATAAATCATATTTTTTCTAAAAAAGTGAAATATGTTTCCAAAATACTATGGCCAAACACATGGTGAAATTTCACCCAAATAATATTTGCCAAAAATATTTGGAAATCTATGGCCAAACGCTAGCTTGGTATCCTATACTATTTTTATTAGGAAAAAAAATGGCAAAGAACCCCCCCCCCCCCCCCCCACCCCCGACTTGTAGCTTTTTAGTTAGTGAGCACCTAAACTATCACTCGTATTAAATACCCCTGGAATTTGTTTTTTCAACCGTAGCGTACACCTACGACGTTTAGATCCCTCAACCGTGTATACATGCACGTGACACGGTGAAAATATGACAAATGTGGATGTCCATGTAGATAAATAATGCCTCCACCCTCTCTAATATTTACCCTTTTTCAAAAGCTTTTTATATAAACCCCCAATTCACACAAATCAACCCTAATTACCCGATCTTCTCTTTCACACAAATACTCTCTAAATAATCAAATCCTAAGAAGTTTAACAATCAGAGTAAAGGGTAGATTTTGAACATTTCTGGCTCTGCTATTTGAATGTTTTCTCCTCAAATAGTAGTCCATTTGGGTGAAGCTTTTTATTTGAGTGGATTTTTCTCCGATCTTGTCTGAAACTCTTATCAAGTAAGTGATCATCCATTCTTAAAATGTATTTTTGTTTGTTTTACCTTGAATAGCCTTGGTCAGTTACAATCCAATTACGTCCGGGGTAGTCATATGACCATGAAATTCTCACAATCGGAGGACACCCACATGCACAAACAAGCATCCTATTATAATTCATGGATTCATCAATTGCAACTTTAGAAAGATGGAGGAGAGATAAATTATAGGCAAAGAAAGAAAATGATGGCAAAGATAGGTATTTCAGAAAATTGAAAGTGATGGAGAAGAAGGGTTTAGGGAGAATAAATAGGAAGAGAATGAAGAGAGATGCTGTGCAAAAAAGGAAAAAAATAAAGAGAAACAAGAATTTTTAATGTTTTTCACCATTGAAGTAATATGATGCGGCAAAAAATTTACTCCCTCACGCGCCTAGCTGAGCTTGTTGTCAGTTTCTATGCCAGGTGGACGTTGTAGGTGTATGCGACGGTTGAAAAAACAAGTTCCGGGGGTATTTCATATGAGTGATAGTTTAGGTATTCGCTGAATAAAAAGCTAAAAGGTCGGGGGGTCTCTAGCATTTCTGCCTTTTTATTATTATTAAACTGGTGTATGCGACGGTTAAAAAACAAGTTCCACGGATATTTCATATGAGTGATAGTTTAGGTATTCACTAAATAAAAAGCTACAAGATCGGGAGGTCTCTAGCATTTCTGCCTTTTTATAATTATTAAACCTCATTCAGCTGACTATCCTAGTCTATATCAGGTGTAACCCAGTTTATTGACTTATTGCAGCTAGAGTAAAGTTAAATGGAGCTATTGTTTTAGAGCACAATACAGCTATAAAGATACACATGACCAGCATAACTACACAAGATGACAATATACTTTACTTGTGAAAACAGAAGAAGAAAAATAAGCTAAAAGGCAATACTACAAGTAGGCCAACCTTACAGCTGGGATTTACATCTGCCAATGGTGTCAAAAAAATCATATAACCACGAAAACCAAAAAATTGCTGTTCTATAGGCACTTCGCCAAAACATCATAGGTGATCATCTAATGCATCATAAAGGAACCCTTTTATATTCTTTGCCATTCGCCCCATACATTCCTTATCCTAAGAGCAACTAAAAGCATATTCAGTTGCTCATCAATAAACTGAAGAACCATCTTAGGATACTGTAAATGTTCACACCATATAGAATATCAAGAACATTAACACAACAGATAACTCATTACCTTTGCGCTTCAATAATTGGAAGACGAACCGATATAAGCTCACAGAATAGCTCAACAATCTCCTGCGCTGCCATCATTTTCTCTTCTCTTATGATATGCTCTACCTAAACAAGCAAACATCACAGTCAAGCTCATTACTCTGTAAAACCATCTATCAAAATACATAATAACCTTTCAGTATTCAAATGCGAAGAACACACAGCCTAGCACAAATTATATCAGCATGAATTGATGAATTTAAGCAAAATAAGATTCAGTTTATACCCGAATTCGAGCAGTAGCTTCCTGACCAGTCTCTAGTAGCTTAGCTATTTCTTTCCTCATCTGCTTCAGCTGAAACTCCCTACGATTCCTCAGTAGTTTGATCCGAGGAATTGTCAATTTCAACATGGTTTTACTGCAAATTGATAGGTACCATCAGCAAATTTCCATATAAAAAAGACATCATTTTTCTCTCAATTTTTCTCAAAAAATTGAAAAATTCAAAACCCCATGCTTTCAACAATACAAAATTTCAAATCTGCATCATAAGAACCCTTAACTAAAAAGACCCAAATCATAAAATCTGACAAGAACCTTTAAAAAAAGACAGGAAAGTGGGAAATTGAGGATTACCATTTGGCAGCTTTGAAACCTTTGCTGAAGAAAGAATCCATTATAGACTTGATTCAGATCTTCAATATCCGTGTACCCTTTAAAATTCTTGCAACAAAACCTTATGAATTATCACTTACCTAAAACCACAAAATAATTAATCAAACTTGGTAGTATTTCAGATTAAAGCAAAGAATACCTTTTTATTTTTCAAAAAAAGAAAAGAAAAAGAGATCAAAGATCAAAACTGATGACGAAGTAGTAAAGAAAATATGTGTTTTTGTGGAAAGCAAAGAAAGTGAACCTGCTCCGCTATGCATATAAAGACAAATGGAACGCGGACAAAGCTTTCAATGTCTACGACAACAAGCAGCTTCCTTAAGCTCTAAGCATTATTGGATTTCAACTTTCAACGAGTATTATTTTTGGGATTAAAATTAGGTATAACTTCTCAATTTTACAACTGTTTAAAGTACAACTCTAGAAGATGAATTTGGGTCGGATTTGGCCCAATTTCTGGCCATGGAAGAAGTTTTTTTTTTGTTTTTTTTATCTAGTATAATAAATTACGTATAATTTTTATAGATAAAAGCAAAATTGAGTAATTTGATAACCAAATTACTACAAATTAAAATGATCATTCGACATTCCAACTCCCATATTTGGTAAATGAGATTTGACGTTAACAAAGAAGACGTTTGGTCAGAAATAATGTATTGCATTTTCCAATAAAACAAAAACTAATTACTACTACACCGGAAGTAGTTGACGTACTTTTAGGCTTAGAGCAAGCACTATTCGTACCTTTGTAGCTCTTGTTGTATGTGGTGTATTGTGTTTTTAATTACCACACTATTTTGTTGTTATTGTTTGCTTCTCTCTTTTAGACGGTACCTTTTCTTATTAACAATTATGATTTCTTCATTATTTTCTTTTTTTCACTTGGGTTCGATGCACTTGAGCTGATGGTTTTTTGGAACAACCTTTATACCTGTTCGAGCTAGAACATGTACGGAGGGAGTGATAAATTTTGCGTACACTCTAGCCCTCCCCAAACCCCACTTAGTGGGATTTCACTAGGTATGTTGTTTTTGTATGTTCAATTTATGTGGCATAATTAAATTTTAATTTACGAGCCAACTTGCATGCATCTCGATGAGTAAAATACCAGTGTGTAGGATTGGCCAATTTTATCTTTCTGGATGCTATTTTCTTGTTACAGAATTGATCTACCTGCAGTCCAAGTGATGGAAAAACTGATTTGTTGAGAGCAGCAGCTTGTGGGAGAGCGAATAGGGCTGGATAAACAAGAAACTTATACAAGGTCTCCAATATGGTAAACAATTTATTTTCTCCATACAAAAGGAGATAATAATGCTAAAAGTATATTTTCAAGGAATCCATTCAAAGTGAAATAAGAAGAAACCTACTAGATTACTCAAACTACAACAGGTTAGAATGATTAACACAAGGAGTTTGGCTCTACTTCAGCCGCAACCATAGGTGTTGAACAAGAACAAGGTTGCATTTACCCCGAAGCTATAAGCTCAAATCGTTCCTAAGCCAAAACCATAAGCAAGTGCATGAGGATACATGAGTCGTGCCTTCAATTGAGGAACATAAAATATCTGGCCAAACTGTGCATGTCTGGGCGATCAACATACTTGAGCAGTCACAATCAGTATTGAATTTGGTCCAGCGAGTTCCAAATTCAGTCCATCTCGGGACCTTCATCTCCAAAAAGGATCTTGGTCTTCACTTGGAACCTCCCATGGCTTTCAATATGAGCCTTGGTGTGAATGTCCTAGCTGGATCCCTATAAGAGATTAACATGACTTAATGAGCTTAGTTGATGCCTCCTAAACTAAATGGATAAGAAACGGGAAACACATTTTAGGATCAGAAGAGTGTTAATACTTTGTCCTGAGATAATGAAATAGGATAACATAACCAAGAAGCACATGTTTTATTTTCAAACTGCATGCTGCTTAGTAGAAAACAAAAAGAAGGATAGGGGCTTCTGCATCCCTAAGTCATTTGCATTTGCTACGTAATAGAAGAACCTGCATTATTTTACGCACTGATTTTAAATCACAACTATGCATAGCACAACTGACATCCTTTTCTCACAATACTTCTTTCATGTAGCATGTTTCATCTGATGAGTTGTGAAAGTTAACAATAGGCTGGAAGTTTGGAGACAAGTCCTAGAGTCTAAAGGCTTCAGGTTAAGCAGGACTAAAACAGATTACTTGGAGTGCAAGTTCAGCAACATAGCACATAAGGTGGAGGTGGAAGTGAAGATCAATGCACAAGTCTTACCCAAGAGAGGAAGTTCCAAGTAGCTTGGGTCAACAATCCAAGGAGACGGGAGATTGACAATGATATCGCACATATTGGAGCGGATGATAAGAAAATGCCGTCAAGGCTTAAAGGTAAGTTATACAAAGTGGTGGTTAGACCAACATTTTTGCATGGAGAAGAGTATTTGTCAGTCAAGAATGCAAACGTACAGTAGATGAAGGTAGCGGATATGAGAATGCTCAAATGGATGTGTGAACATACTAAGAGAGATATGATTAGAAACGAAGTCATATAAGTCAAAGTCCGAATGGCGGAGGATGTGAGAAATATATACTAAAAATATTATTGAATTGTGTATCTAAATAGTTACATTGAGACCCTATTTATAGACACTACATTGGAATCCTTTTCCAACTAGGATTCCTATTCTTATTCCTATTCCTATTCCTATTCTTATTTCTATTCTAAGTAGGAAATACTTATTTCTATTCTAGCACTCCCCCTCAAGCTGGTGCATACAAATCATATGTACCTAGCTTGTTACAGATGTAATTAATACGAGGACATGTGAGGGACTTGGTGAAGATATCTGCAAGCTGATCATTTGACTTCACAAATTTCGTAACAATATCTCCCGAGAGTATCTTTTCTCTGACAAAGTGACAGTCAATCTCAATGTGCTTAGTCCTTTCATGAAACACTGGATTTGATGCGATATGAAGAGCCGCTTGATTATCACACACAAGTTCCATCTGATCAACTTTGCCAAATTTTAGTTCTCCCAGCAACTGTTTGATCCAAACTAGCTCACAAGTTGTTGTCGCCATTGCTCGATATTCTGATTCTGCACTAGATCGAGCAACCACATTCTGTTTCTTACTCTTCCACGACACCAAATTACCTCCTACTAAAACACAATATCCGGATGTCGAACGTCTGTCAGAGGGTGATCCTGCCCAATCAGCGTCTGTATATCCAATGATATGCTCATGGCCTTGATCCTCAAAGAGTAGTCCTTTACCGGGAGCTGACTTTATATATCGCAGAATACGAACAACTGCTTCCCAATGACTATCACAAGGGGAAGTCATAAACTGACTTACAACACTCACAGGAAAAGAGATGTCAGGTCTAGTCACTGTGAGATAATTCAACTTTCCAACAAGTCGTCTATACCTTTCAGGATTACTAAGTGGCTCCCCCTGTCCTGGAAGGAGTTTAACATTCGGATCCATAGGAGTGTCAACAGGTCTACATCCCATCATTCCTGTCTCCTCAAGAATGTCTAAGGCATACTTGCGTTGAGAAATAACAATACCTGATCTAGACTGAGCAACCTCAATACCTAGAAAATACTTCAATCTGCCAAGGTCTTTAGTTTGGAAGTGCTTAAAGAGATGTTGCTTCAAATCGGTGATACCATCTTGATCATTACCGGTGATAACAATATCATCAACGTAAACAACCAAATAGATACATCGACTTGGTGCAGAATGCCGATAAAACACAGAGTGATCAGCTCCACTACGAGTCATGCCAAACTCCTGAATTACTCTGCTGAACTTCCCGAACCAAGCTCGAGGAGACTGTTTTAGACCATAGAGTGACCTGTGCAATCGACATACAAGGCTACTAGACTCCCCTGAGCAACAAAACCAGGTGGTTGCTCCATATAGACTTCTTCCTCAAGATCACCATGCAGAAAAGCATTCTTAATGTCCAACTGATGAAGAGGCCAATGACGAACAACAGCCATAGATAGAAAAAGACGAACAGATGCAATTTTAGCCACAGGAGCGAAAGTGTCACTATAATCTAGCCCAAATATCTGAGTATACCCTTTGGCAACAAGGCGAGCCTTAAGTCGATCAACCTGACCGTCTGGACCAATTTTGACTGCATAAACCCAACGACAACCAACAGTAGATTTACCTGCAGGAAAGGAGACAAGCTCCCAAGTACCACTCTTATGTAAAGCAGACATTTCATCAACCATAGCCTGCCTCCATCCAGAATGAGAAAGTGCTTCACCTGTAGTCTTAGGAATGGAAATAGAGGACAAAGACGACACAAATGCATAATGGGGTGATGATAGACGATGATAACTTAAGAAGGTATAATGTGGGTTAGTATTTCGAGTGGATCGTATACCTTTTTGAAGTGCAAGCGGTTGGCTAGGAGGAGGCAAGTCCGCAGTAGGAGCAGGGTCCGACGCATGACATGAATCATTTGGGACTAGGGTTGGACGTGGACGGCGATGATAAGTTAGTAGTGGTGGCACTACAACTGGAGATGTAGAAGTAACCGTAGATTCCTCAAAGGTTGGCACAGGTAAAACCTGAGGTATGGGTAAGACCATAGAGACATCAGGATGATCAAAAGATGTATAGTAAGGCTGAGACTCAAAAAATGTAACATCAGCGGACATAAGGTATCGATGAAGATCATGTGAATAACAACGATACCCTTTTTGGACTCGAGAGTAACCAAGAAAGACACATTTGAGGGCACGAGGAGCTAATTTATCTTTTCCTGGGGCTAAGTTATGAACAAAGCATGTGCTCCCAAAGACACGAGGAGGGATATGATAGAGATGTGACTGAGGAAACAGTATGGAATGGGGAACCTGATTCTGAATAGAAGAAGAGGGCATTCTATTTATCAAATAACAAGACGTAAGAACTGCATCTCCCCAAAAACGTAGTGGAACATTGGATTCAAGGAGAAGAGTACGAGCGGTCTCAATAAGATGCCGATTTTTTCTTTCAGCTACACCATTTTGTTGAGGGTGTATGGACAAGTAGTCTGGTGAATAATGCCTTGGTGAGTCATAAACTCCTGAAATTGGGAGGATAAGTATTCTAAGGCATTATCACTACGAAAAGTACGAATAGAAACACCAAACTGATTTTGTATTTCAGCAAAGAAACTTTTGAAAATAGAAAATAACTCAGAACGATCTTTCATTAAGAAAACCCAAGTACATTTTGAATAATCATCAATGAAACTAACAAAATAACGAAATCCTAAGGTGGAACTGACTCTACTAGGACCCCAAATATCAGAATGAACTAATGAAAAAATAGACTCTGAACGACCCTCAGTACTACGAGAAAACGTAGCACGAGTGTGTTTCCCAAGTTGACACGACTCACAATCTAATGTGGATAAACTAGGCACCATCTTTTGCAGTTTGGATAGACTCGGATGTCCCAAACGTTTATGAATTAGATCTGGGGAATCTGTAACGGAGCATGCTGCTAAGGAATTTGAAGAGGTAAGATAGTAAAGGCCTTGTGATTCATGTCCTGTTCCAATCATCTGTCCCGTACTGCGGTCCTGCATGAGAAAAAAATCATCGAAAAAAGTTATGCTACAATGTAGGGCTTTCGTCAAACGACTAACAGATGCTAGATTAAAAGGAGAACCAGGGACATAAAGAACAGAGTCTAGGGTGACAGAAGATAGGGGTTTGGCTTTTCCAACCCCTTTTGGTTTTGTTTGGATCCCATTGGCTAAAGTAATAGCTGGAAGAGATTGTGAATAAACAATATCGGATAAAAGTGATTTATTACCAGAGATATGATCAGAAGCCCCAGAGTCCATGACCCATGTTCCAAGAGTACTAGATTGCGACACACAAGCAAAAGAATTACCCGCAACAGAGACATTAGGTTGTGCAACCGAAACTACTTGTGGAGACGTTTGCTTATTTGCACGATACTGAAGGAACTCATCATATTCTGTCTGGGCAATATGAGCATTATTGGATGGTTGATTAGGTTGAGCACCATATGCTACTGCTGAAGATGTCTGTTTACTTGCGCAATTTCGAAGGAACTCATTATATTCCTTTAGAACAATAGGATCATAACTGGGTGGTGGACCATGCAAAATATAACATATATCACGAGTGTGTCCAGGCTTATGACAATGACTACACTTGGATCGAGGTTTCCCAAAACGCCCTCCCCCTCGCCGATTCTCCATAGATTGATATGTACGCTTTTCAAAGGTTTGAGATGCGAGAATAGATGAGTCAACAGTGGGTGATGAAACTACCTTGTGACTGGGAGGTGCCGCAAGACGAAGGAGACGAGAGAATAATTCATCGATTGTAGGAACTGTAGGGCTAGCTAAAATCTGATCACGTACAGAATCATGATTAGGAGGAAGTCCAGCAAGAGTAAGAACTAGAAACAATGTTTGTCTGTGTTCTTGTTGTTTTTCCACGTTCGTAGTAACTGGCATTAATGTGTCAAATTCCTCCATGACTACCTGTACCTGTCCCAAGTAAGTAGACATATCGGATTCTTGTTTCTTTAAGTTGGTCAATCGAGATATCACATCATAGAATCGAGATATGTCATTAGTGTATAAAGCACGAGCCTTTTCCCAAACTGTATAACACGTCTGGAATGGGCGAAACAAGGGCATCAACTTGGAATCAATAGAACGCCATAGGAGACTACATAATTGAGCATCTACTTTCTCCCATTGTGCTTTGGCTTTTGCATCTTCCTCACTAGTCTTTGCCTTTACATCTACCACATAAGCCTTGTTCGTTAAGTGATCTTGGACACCTTGACCCTTGCACCAAAGCTCAACCGAGGAAGCCCAAGATAAATAGTTTGAACTTCCCAATAAAAGTTCTGAAGTGATTATAGGGCTAGAACTTCCAATCCCCATATTTTTGGAACCAAAAACATCACACCCAAAAGACATTATGCTAAATTTGTCTCGGAAAATTCAAATCTTGAAGAAAAGTCGCCGGAAACTGCCTGGAAATAGCCGGAACCCTAATTCCGGCGATCGGATCTGGTCAAAAATAGTATGGGCTTGGTCGGAATGGCTGGACGACCCCAACTGTCAAAAAAAAGTTCAAAAAATATGCACAGAAAAGCCCTCACGCGCCGGCACGTGAGACAGATCTCGCCGGAAACTACCACCTCCGATCGGCGCGTGAGAGCGCGTGGGGTGGTGTTTTCCGGTGGTTTTGGCTGGGGTTTGGTCGCGGGGGCTTTCCGAGCCTCGTGGTGGTGTTGGTTTTCGCACAACACCCACAGAAAGAAAAAAGAATAACAAAATCAGACCTAACAGTCACCAGTAATTGACATAGACATACGGTGACTTGTTTGTTCTCACCAATGCTCTGATACCATGTGAGAAATATATACTAAAAATATTATTGAATTGTGTATCTAAATAGTTACATTGAGACCCTATTTATAGACACTACATTGGAATCCTTTTCCAACTAGGATTCCTATTCTTATTCCTATTCATATTCCTATTCTTATTTCTATTCTAAGTAGGAAATACTTATTTCTATTCTAACAGAGGTCAAGATGAGGAAGCTAAATTAAGATCGTACGGGCATGCAAAGAGGAGGGGCACAGATGTGCCAGTAATGAGGTGTGAGAGATTGGATATAACAGGGGTTAGGAGAGGTAGAGATAGGCCGAAAAAATACCGGGGGAGATGATTAGATAGAACATGACACAACTTTAGCTTATTGAGTACATGACTCTAGATAGGAAGGTTTGGAGGTTGAGGATTAGAGCAAAAGGCTAGTAAGTACCCGAGTGTTATCGCACTTCATGTGGGAATGCTAGGGGGCTATTTAGTAGTAGCATAGTATCATGTTCTTCAATGTATATTACTATTTGTTGCTTCTTTTGCTTTGTTATCTCGCTATTTTGTTGTCATATTTTCTTGATACCCTACTTATGGAACTTCTCTTTTGAGTCTAGCGATACAACCTCTCTACCTCACAAAGGATAGGGCTAAGGCCTGCGTACATGCAACCCTCTCTAGACCCCAATTGTAGGATTACACTGAATTTGTTGTTGTTGTTGTAGCATCTTTCATCACAAATGAATCTTATGGGATTCCTTAGCATCTTTAGTTTTATCTGACCATGCCAGAAAGAATGGTTTAAAACAAGCTTAGCTTTTAACTACAACATGCCACAATTATCTATACAGAATCAACAATCAACAATCAGCAATCCCAACCAAAAAAAATTTTGGTTTCTCACCAGGTGTCCGGTATCCAATGTGGGTACCGGACACCGGGTGGGAAACCAAAAAAAAAAAAAAAAAACCAAAATTAAAACTAAAAAAAAAAGAAAAGATAAAAAGAAAAATCTTGTTTGAAGGTTATGGGTTCGGGATATGAAACAACCTCTTGCAGAAATGTCAGATAAGGTTGCGGATAATGGACCCCTATAGTTTGGCCCTTCCCCCGACCCCACACATAGTAGGAGCTTAGTGAACCAAACTGTCCTTTTTATGCTTCACATAATTCGAAAGCAACAATACGATATCTCAACTGCAAAAAGTAAAATGACATTCATACTATCAGGCATTTTCAAAAGCAACACAAGGATCTTCACTTCCTGGGTGGAATTTCCCGACTTGATTCATACTATCAGGCATTTTCAAAAGCAACACATCAAACTCATAAATGGCCTACCTTACTTACCAATGGCTTTAACAAAGAATACTTTTTTGTTTCGAATTGCACTATCAGATAATGGCAATACAGCATCAAATCAAACAGTGACATAGTCCCTAATTTTAAAAAGGAACCAAGAAAATAAAATTACAGCAATAACAAAAACGGAAAAAGAATACTAGATAGCAGCCATAAAGAAATAGTTTACCTCAACAAGTGGAAACTCAGAATATCTATTTCATCCGACACTTTTCATGTATGCTTCATATGCAATGGGTATTTTATCCTTGTAAGGCAGCAAAATTGCTTCCATAAACTTTGATGGCGTCATGCTAACAGCAGTAATAACCCCACGCCTTTTTTGAGATGTTTTTCATTTAAAATTTTCAGGACCCTATATCTTGGAATCACTCTCTTCTGTAAACTATGCGTTAGCAGGCGGGAATGAGATGCTAAATACTCTGATGTACAGCCAACTTCATTCATGAGAAAAGTTAACTGTTTACATATTTTCACCTCCGAGGAACTCAAACAAGAAGGATAATTTCTGGTCATGGTTTTTATATGTTCATCAGACCAACCAAAACTTTTATAAACATCAATCTTCTTTGCCAAAGTTGACTGACGGAACGTAACAATGGCAGCAATTCCATTGAAGAATGTACGTGGTTCACGAGGGATTCCAAGGTCTTTCTCCACACTATGAATAACATCCTTAAGACATCCAAGATTCCGCATTATACGCTTTGGGTTCTGCAATATAAACTTCCTAATTTTCTCATCTGAAAGCCCAATATCATGTAACAACAACACATTAGGTGCTATTGTCTTGGTAACATGACATCTAAGTAACCAAGAACTCTTTTTTATAATCTTAACAACATTTTCATCACTACCCAATAAATTTCTAAGATAATCAAGGGAAGGTCTAATAAAAGTATCCAAACCATTGCTGAAAAACAAATCATTCTCCATTATAAACTTACATAAGTCAGTCCCAGAAAGCCCAATTTCTTGTAAAATCTCGAGTTTTGGTTTAAGGGTTTTGTCTACATTAGAGAATAGTACTTTGGGGGATTTGGAGACAATGTTCTTGATTTGGGTATTATCAAAATCATTTTTTTGAAAGAAATCGACTACAAATTCTGGGTTTTTTGAGGGTTTCAAGTGGATTAATTTTGGGTTTTTTGAGGGTTTCAAGTATTAAAGATATTAGATGTGGTGCGCTGTCAAACCTCAACCATTAGGTTATACAAGAGAATTCATCCAAAACAAATCCTAATGCCATCTCATTGTATTATTCTAGAATTCCCGATGCAAATCCAGATTTAGTCAGAACCAACGTAGGTACCGGACACGAGGTGTGAAGCCAAAAAGGAACTTAAAGAATCAGTGTCCCTCTATTACCTAGCTGTTGCTAAGTCTTGTAAGGCAAAAGAATTGTGCAACTCCATCTTCAACTAAGAGTAATGCAGACTCAGTTGCTACAATAAACCTCTTTACATGCTGCAACTAGTTAGTTGTTGAATCTGCAGTTCAAGTCACGGGAATGAAGAACTTCGTGATAAGTCCACATCATGAAATGACATAAGATGAGGTCTAGGTAGAGTCCATAAACAAGCACTCTGCCCAGAAGAAAAGTTTAGAAAAAATGGAGAGCAAACAATAACCAGAAGATTCAATGAGTCATATATAGCGAGAACAAGATTGTTCAATTCATGCTTAGCCCGAAACTCAAAAGGATCAAACACATAAAAGCAGGATGGACAGAGAAAATGAAATTTACCACACTGCAGGGGAACTAATAGTTGTGACTTCAATAGAAAACAGGAAAGACCTGAAGAAACAAAATTCATTTGACTGAAAGATCATGAGTATGAACCATAAAGATGAAAATCGCACCTCATTTGACTGATCATCATGACTCTAACGGCTCACACATGTCACATATGACTCATATAGATTAGGTATCTCATCCTTGTAAGGAAGCACGAATTCTGAACGAAACATAGGTTCAGATATATACATGGCTCGAGAAAAAGATACTTTCTGATTCAGCTTCTTCTCCTCTAAAACTTTCAGTACTTGATTTCTAGGAATCACTCTCTTGTCCAGGCTAAGCATTATAAGCGCAGGATTACTAATCAAGTATTCTGGTTTGCATCCGAGTACCCTCGTGAAAATGTCCAATGCTCGCAGAATTCTAGCTTCTGACATAGCCAAACAAAGGGGTTGCTTTCTGAACACAGTCAATATATCCTGATCACACCATCCACAACTCCTGAAAACTCCCATTTTGTTTTCCACTGTTGACTTACCTAGTGCGATAACTGCAAGAACTCCGTACATGAACATTCCAGATGTGGGAGAAATATGTAAATCCTTTTCAGCTTTGTGCAATATCTCCTCTAGCCACTCATATTTTTGCAGAAGTATACGTGGTTTCTGAAGTATAAGTTTCTCGATTTGGGCATTTGAAAAACCAAATTTTTGCAACAACAATATTTTGGGTTCAAATCTTTTTGGAACATTGACAGCAAGTAAATAAGGTGACCTCTTTATAAGTTTAACCAAAGTCTCCTCACTACTAACTAGTTTCCTTAGAAAATCCAAATTAGACCTCAAATGAGAACCTACTGCATTATACAAAGCTTTTCCGTCTGCTAGGAAGAGATCAACTAGGTCAGATCCAGATACCCTCACTTCTCGCAGACACTGAAACTTGGGTTTAAGGGTTCTGTTTATATCAGAAAAAAGCAGTCTCGGTGTAATAGAAACTAATTTCTCGATCTCTGTCCGTTCTAAACCCATCTCTTGGAAGAATTTGATTACCAAATCAGGATTCTTAGGTGCTTTCACGCTGTTCAACTTGGCAGCTACAGCATTTGCTTCATATCTGGAGAATCCCCGTGATTTGATGAAGTAGTACGACAAGAGAGGGTTCTGAGAATGAACGGTCGCACTTGTTGAATAGCAAAACTGAGACCATGATCCACTAATGAAAAAAAGCTGCCAAATGCCAATGTACCAAAACTTAAAACATTTAAGAAGCACAGTTTCATTAGACAACATTGCACAAACATTGATAAATGACAATGACAATAATATAATATAAACATGCTGTTTTAGACCATGAAACAAGGGATAATGTATTCGAACATCACTTTTTACTTGGAGAGAACCAGCATGTATCTCCTTGAACCATATTTACATGAGATCAAACTTCACAACAAGAAAGGTTTCATGAGCAATAAATGATACAGAATTTATACCAATCAAAAAATAATAATATATATAGTTTATTCAAAGGGAAACTGAAACCATTGGAAAAAAATTCTGAACACAAAATTGATGAAACATTTAAAATGAAGACGTGCAATACACATTGTTAAAAATGTAAAAATTGCATTACAAAGTGATGAAGCATAAGGCATACATGGCAGTTCAAGAACATTGATGGCTTACTCACAGAAGTTAACTTGCGCAAGCTTTTGAGAGTCAATTACACTGAACTCCTCTCTAGAGCGAAAATATTCAAGGGACCTCCCTTGAAAGAATTACAAGAACCCCCACATGAATTACAGTGTTAAACAACAAAGTATCGTATTACTTACAAAAATTTAAACTCCCTTTCTTTTACTTTAAAACTCTTCTGTTTACTGAAATAAGAAGCATTTAAGTCAACGTGTTACAAGGAGTATTTAAATAACAGGCAAATATTACTAAAAACAAATCATTTAAAGTTGTGAAATTACAATGAGTGTATTAAATATTATTCCACAACAGAGAACTCAAAGTCAATTTCGGATAATTTGACTTTCTATTCTCTTATATATTTTTTTTTTTACATTTGTAGTCTGTCTAAGAATTTCTAGTGCTATTCTTCTTTTATAAAAAAGTAATATTGGAACTATATATTCTAAGACATGAACAGTAAATGTTAAAATAGTTCTTGGTAATAACAACAGCAATAGAAGACACAAAACAAGAAGAAAAGAGAAAACAAAAAAGGGGACAATAGAAGGCACTGGCAGGCTCACTATCCATGGAGTTCAAACGGTGCACAACTAACCCCTGAGAGTTTCTCGGTTATGGAAAAAATAAAGTTTAAAATTCTCATGCTTTCAACGGTGTTACCCATCAACTTATTTTTGGTAAGGTTTCTACTAATATATTTAATTAGAGGACTTTTTCTAATCCAGAGGAAAGTAGTATAACTAACCCAACATAGTTTGCTTTGAATGGTTTACTTTAAGTCTGGCAGACACAAATTGTCAACAAGAAGCTGAAGATAAAGTATGAAATTCATTCTATGCATCATTTGGAAAGTGGCTTGAAAGGAATAGAAGATATATTTTAGGGAAAAAAAGCTTATATTTTTTGTCAAATATATATGCATCAGAATTTATTTTGTTGGTACAAAATGATTTTCGACTAACTGGACAGAGTTTATGGACTTGTTAGGCTCCTTTATTATGTAGATTTACACAAGTCCCACTTTTTGTACTCTTTACGTACCTCCTTGGCACTCTGATATTTATAAAATTACCATACCATTTTTTCTAAAAAAAAATGTAATAGCAAAGGCCAAGTTGTGATAGCATTTAAACAAATTATACACCACTTAAACATCTAAATGTAGAAGTAGCCAAATGAAGCTGAATATTCCAAAATATTACAACAGTTTAGACAAAGCAATAAAGGGTCCTAGGTTCCACAACAAAGACTCCAGCTTTAGAACAGTTGCTCACATGTTAATTTGATAATGACCAAGCGGTGAACCAGGAAGGTTATGTTCTAACATCATAATGAATGAAAAGGCGAATTCTACAGAGAAGCAACAATGAGGTGAACCACGCTATGTGAAGGAAGTCACAAACAAAACATTTAATCACTCTTTTCTTGAATTATTCATACATAAAGTACAGAAAGGCAGGGTACATCCTGTATAAATCTGATTCTGTCAACCATATGACTTCTTTTCGTGTTCACCTCCTTCACACTAAATATTTTCAGCACTCTTTTGACTAAAATTTATAGTGAGTTTGATTCTCTTGGTATCATAGGATGAAAACATTTCAAGACTTCTTTTCCTTAAAAACTGAGAATTCCCTAACGTCAATAGACACATAGTTCCTAATAACATCTCAAATTTCTTCACCGCAGGGTGGTTAGAGAACTTTGGAACTTGTTTACTAGCTTCAGGGGCATAAGTTGGACCATGCCTGAAAGGGCAAGTCAGGCTATAGAAAGCTGGAATAATGAAGGTAGTGGTAGTACAGACAAAAACAGATGGAGAATTTGTCCCAGTGATTTAGTGGACCATATGGAAGGAGAGAAATTTGAGATGTTATGAGAGCATTAGTAGTCCTTCACATAGATTAAAATGAACTGCATTATCGTTTCTTGCTATTGGTGCAGTTCTGAGTATGTAGATGATCCTATAGCTATTACAGATATTCTAGGTTCTTTGTAAGATGAAGTAGGATCTAGTTTAGATTTGCTGAGTATACTCAACTGTATGTAGCTCCATGATGTAAATTTGGGATCCCAGCACTAACTGAAGATTTATACACAAAACTGCTACCTTTGTCAAAAAAAAAAATAGACACATAGTTCCAAACTCCGTGGAAAATAGGCCCATCCCTCTACCCAACTCGACTAAAATACCAGACTTTGACCACTGCCAAAGCACAGGGGCACATTCATTTCACTCTAGCTTTAACCACATTTTCTATCACCACTAAATACTTGTCAAAGAAAATCTAATTTAGGCATCACATTAGAATCTAAAGATTACACCTTTCACATGTCAAATCTTGATTTCAGGGTTACTGTACTGAGAATAGCAGCAAAATTTACATATAAATGAATTTATTTAAGAAAATTGTCGCATCACACTTCACATGGAAAAAATATTCCACCTTGACAAAAATTAAATAAATTATTAGTATTAGTTAAAGTTAAAGATTAAAGTATTACTATTCCCCCAAAAAATTATAAAATAAAATGTAAAATAGTGGAAAGAGAATGAAATGAAAAAAAGAATTAAACAAAGAAGAATAGAGTGAGAGTAAAGAGCATATTGGTGGCATAGCTTCACCATAGCAACTCAATGAAGAATAAGAGGTAAAACAAGAGAGGGAGAACAGGGAGAAGAAGAGGAACATTCACGTCCACAACACACTCCAGTCACCTTGATCTGAATTCTAGTATGTTATCCACAAAATCTCCTTTTTGTTTTTGATAAATACTATGTAAATTTCTTTTATGGTTTCCTTAACTTTTCTTTTTCACTTTGACTATTTTGCTGTTTGTTCTGATCTTTCGCTATATACTATCTACTTAAATATTTAATGAATTGTATATATTTGGCAGACATGTTTTTCCAGTTTAGTGTTAGATTGTATTCAAAATGATAATGATTCTCTCTGATTCTGGTCAATTCTACTTCATAATTAAAGGTTCATCAATTACCGGGTTGACTTAAATAACAGAAAGAAAGAAAGACCTACAAATTTACATTCATAAAAGTGGTAAATTACATTATTTAACATATTATGATTATTTAATGGTTTCTGAAAAGTTAAACTCCAAAGATGCAAAATAGAGGACATTGAACATGCACTATTCATCTCAAATAGGGGGTATATACCATGAATGGTACTGAATGCTAAGCACCAAATCAGCTCACATACTAGAATTTAGTCTTTTACTTGGCACAAGATAAACATTATTTTCCTACAATCTGTAGTTGCCCCTAATACGAGTAAGATGGTCCTTTGTTCACTTTACCAATAATATAAGCTAGTGAGAGGTGAATGCTAAGGAGTAGAACAGTTCATAAAGAAGACAATTCCTAACAAAGACAAAGAATTTTAAATTTTAACAGTACAACAATAGCAAGTAAAACAGTTAGACATATTGCCACCGGAAAAGACAGGTGAATCAAGAATAGTGGACATCAAGAGCAAACATGGACATTATAATCCTTAATCATTGAATGGGTTAGTAACTGAGACATCCAAGTATGACACAACTAGAAAGGCCATTACCTGGATGCCTGCAGCCTGCTCCTTTTCGTTTCACTCAAAGTTAACACATTTAGAACTGGTACTCATCTTAACTTAAGCAAGAGATTGTGCTTTAAAGAGACTTCAAGCTTTAGACTTCCTTTTGTCAACGCTACCAGATGGAACGACCCAGGATATCTCACTTAATCAGGATATATCTCTCTTTTCAGCTCTTGCCAGACTTCAAGGCCTTTAGGATGAGGATTTACATAAGTCTTCATGAATAATTTCTCTGAGGAAGCTATGATAGTGCTCAAAGACAATGTTGGGTCCACTTTTCCTTGATCTTTGAGCCAATTATACATTGAAAGCCTAATTGTGGTTCTTGGAATTGTGTAGTTTAGGTAGGATGGAAACGAAACTAAAGTAGACAGTGGAAGACCCAAATTATTCAATAGAAAATCAATCTTTGCCTCAAGTACCTCTTTCCTTTGATTGAGTATTTGCGGATATATTTTCAGCACTGAAGCAACATGCTTTCGATCCAAACCAGCATTTACCAAACAATCAAACCTCTCTTGGAGCTCCACCCCTTTCCCTCGAAATAATTTGAGAGCTTTCTCCATTCCACTCGAGTTCTCAGCAAAACCCAAATCTAAAAGGAACTTAGTTTTCATCATTTTGGATCTTAGCTCCTCCTCAGCTATTGGTAACCGTTCAACTTTGGCTCCACGAACTAAATTCCTCAAAAATTCTGGATTCTCCTTGATCACACTACAAAGCCGCTTCTTCCCTGTATTCAGGGTAGTTAACAAGCTTGTAGCTTTCTTCAAAACACACGAGCCTAGCAATGTAGGGTATGAATGAATAATATTTCCAATCTCTAAGACAGGCATCTCAATTTCAATCAAGAACTGGTAGCATTGCCTCATATTGAAAACAAATGTGGTTATTGGAATTTGTGGCAAGTGTAGAAATACATCAAGTAATTTGGGTATCTGAATACCAAATTTCAACCAGAATCCAATTAGCGAAAATGTAGTACGACCGGAACAATCAAACAGAAGACCAGGAACTTGACAAATTAACTTTCCTAATTGTTGATCAGTCAAGCCCAACCCGTTCAAGAAGCATATGAGCTCGAATAAGTGGCTCCAATCAATAGAATTTCCATTCAATTGCTCCTCAATCCAACTATATTCAACTCCTGTTTTCTTTAACTCCTCAACAACTTGAAAAAATTCCTTGTGTACATTCCCAATCAAAAGATGAGGACTTGCACTAACAAGCTTAACAACAATAGACTGATCTATCCCAACCCCGTGAAAAGAAGCAAGCTTCAAGTCCAAAACTCCAGAATCATATCTAAAAACTTCTGGAGCTTCAGCAAAAATCCTTCCTATCTTATTTCTTGAAATACCATAATTACACAAGATGTGATAGTTATCAAGCAACCTATGATCATCATTCAAAAACATGAGATCTCTAGGAAGAAATGGCAAGTACTGACAAGGTTTCAGACCAATGCTCTCAAAGAATGGTTCAAATTCATTGATTGGATGATATCGCAAGAATCGAGTTAAAGAACGTCTAATATCATTTTCATTATCAATTCTTTGTAATAAGTTGGAAAGAAAAAAAGGTGAGTTTTTACTCATATGTTCAGCATCCATAAACTGCAAACTTCTAGTGGAATGCAAGTAGTCTAGCAAAACAGCTTGTGCTTCTTTCTTCACTGCACGAGGTATATGACATTCTTCTTCTTCTTCTTCTTCTTGTTTCAATTTAGGTTTTTTAGCAGTTGCATAAAACCTAACCTTTTGGAAGGACCCAAAAATGGGTTTAGAATTGTTAAAAACATAACCCCATTTGAGAATTAATGGAGCTGTCAGCTTCTGCAAATGCTTCATCATCAATGGATAGAGAAGGAGAAATCTCTCTATGATTTCAAGAAATTACTGGTTTGAGTAGCCAAAGTTCGCACAAAAGGGTTTTGCTGTTGTGCTGCTTTTAGTTAGGGAGCCGGGGACGAGTTGCTCGAATGGTAAGCAATCCTCAATTCCAAGCTGAAGATTGTGAGTTTGAGTCAACAAGGGAGCAAAAGGTGGTAGCTCCTAGGCGAGGGTAAAAAAAAATTAGGGAGTCAGGGAAATGGTAGACCTATCAATAATGTTTTTTTTTTCGATCAAAGGGATAATGATAAAGGTTTATTCTTAACTAGATATTTTGGGTTCGAGGCGGAGTATGGAGAAAACTTTATTGGTAGTCGACATCGGGTGGAAAATAAAAAAAAAACTTAGAATATCTAAAATGGTGTTTTAACTATACATTTATCCATTTACTTTTTTATCTATTTAAAAAAATTATTAGGTTTGGTTTCTTACCTAAATACTCTCTTTGTCCCTAATTACTTATCCACTTTTCTTCTTTTAGTTGTCTCTAATTACTTGTTCATTTTGACAAATCAAGAAATGACAAATTTTTTTACCTATTATACCCTCAATTAATTACTTTGAAAAATAGTGAATTTCTTGAAAATCTTAAGTTATAAATTCATTCACTTCATAATTAATAGGAGTAAAATGATAAACTCACTATGTCAATCATTGTTTTCTTAATCGATTTGTCAATTTAAAAGTAGACAAGTAATTAGGGACAAGGGGGTACTTATTGATTTTAGGGGTTGTTTGGTAGAATATATAAAAGTAATGTTAAATAGAGTGTTTTAGTAACACATGTATTAGTTATACTTGCATTAATTATACATAAATTATTTGTATGCATTGTTTGGTTTGATGCATTAAAAATAGAATGCATTGCATTAAAAAAATAAATTACAAAGATACCCTTCACTATTATGATGAAAAAGATATAAAAATGGTATTGAGTGGCAATTGGGTCTTTAATTGAGTTAATGCATGAAAATCATTGCACTGCTAATACATAAAAATTCATGGTATTAGCAATACACATTTTAATACACAATAGAGTCTATAACTAATGCATTAGTTATACATAGTTTGAAAAAATATACCAAATAAGGTACTAGTAATACACAATGTTAATGCATGCATTATTCTTTTAAATTGATTTTAGTCATTTTAGTATTGTCAAATTGATTGATGTATAAAATTAAAAGTTGAGTGACACGTCATTTACACACATTTGATAGAAAATAACAAAAATATTAAATTTTATTTTATTTGCAATCAACCAGGCAACCACCTCTTAATAATTAGTTGACAGTTTCGATTTAGTTAATATACTAGATAATTTAAGGCTCGTGATACAGGCCTAATATTACAATATTATATATATTTAGAATGGAAATTTAATTAGTTTTCAAAAAGAAAAACTATTATGACATTTTCAAATAAACAAGATAAGAAATAATAATAAAATATCCGATGCTCCAGTAATTATTTTAACATCATGTCAAACATATATATTCGAATTAAATGATATTCTTTTTATATTTTATTTGAAAATTATTCAAGAGAATAGATTAAAATTATGAGTCTCAATATATTAACAATTTTCAAAAAATATATGAAGCAATAAAGTCTACTGATCCATCTATAGATTAATTTTGAATACTCTTATAAATTTGTATTATATGTGTTTAACCATCTTTAGCGAAGTCCCTTCTTCCCAACCGGAGTTAGGCAAGTTTAAATTGGAGTAAACAAACAAAAATAATGATCTACTTGATGAAAATTAGAATGAATCATCTCATTCTTTACAAAGTAATGAAAGGATGAAAAAAAAATTATGACTTTATATCTTGTCTTTATATTCTTTAAAATTAGGAGAACAATTTAGTATAGTAAGAAAAGAACTTTTTTTCTATAGTAATTTATATACCTGGTGAATGAATGTTTACCTCAAATAATGAGAATTTAAAAAATTTAACAAAATATAATATATATTGCAGTAATTTAACATGAGGTAGTTAAAATAATAATTTGCTTAAAATGATTTTAACTGATGATAAAATGATAGTAATAAATAAATATATGTTTCTCAAAAAATTATATAATGACATATGTTACGTGAAGTTTGGGATTATACATAAAAAGAGAAATCGAGTAAGTTAGATACTTCAAAAATTATCTTTAATCCAAAAAGAAAAGCAACACCATGAGATTAAAAAGTCTAAAGAGAACCAAAGGAAAGGGCATAACATGCTCCAAAATTTTTGTTCTTGAAGAGCGTGATCAGTGGTTGCATTCCTTATGAGTTAGACCTTTTTTTTTCCAGGATGAATTAGACCTTTTGAGAATTGTAATTGTGATTGATATTGGATTTAACATGTTAACTGGTCCATTATTATATTCATTAGAATGTTTGAAAAATGTGAATCAATTGAATTTTGTTGAAGATTTTTTGTATGGACAAGTCCCAAAAGTAATGTGTTCACTAAGAAATAGTGAATTTTACTTGTGTCTTATAATTGTTTTACAAAGGTAGGGTCATTATGTAGGGAATTGATAAAAAAATGAATTTCTTAATGTTGAAAAGAATTGCATTATTGGTCTTCCTAATAAGAGATCTATACCGAAGCGTGTAATATTTAGGATGCAAATTAGAAATAAAGGAAGAGAAATTTATTGGTATAAGACACGAGAGGGGAGAGAATTGAGGAGTGAATGTAATGAAGAATGAGTTAGTGTCTATTTATTTTTGTCATAGACTTAATTCTAGATTTTTTTATATAATTTATAGTTTCTAGAATAATCATGTAACTTATGGAGGAAATTTAGCCACTTGAAAAAAATATTTTGACAAATTTAAAAATAGAATTTATAGAATTTTAAAATAAAAAATATATGAATGACCATGTTATCCTTGATCGGCCTCAACTTCATATTTCTATATAATAGAAAAATATCAAATTTTGGCCCAACAACTTCAAATTTAATCAAACTTACATTAGTTCACTATTCAGATTAATATGTTTGAAATCAAATAAAAGTAAAAATTTGATTATATATTTTAATGAAGTACTACTCTTTTATAATCTAGTATATATTTTTAGTCTACTTTAAATGCAAATATATCATCCTATTCATTTTATTTGTAAAGTTACTTTTTAACATTTTCTAAAATATATTTTTTATAACTAATTTTATTTATTCTTTAATTTCAATCTAATATATATTATTAATTGATCACACTTATTTCTTTTCAAGTTTATTTAATAGAGCCAAAATAAAAGTGAAAGTAATTAATTATATTTTTAAATAATGAATTTTTATATTAAAGTAGGCATTTTTAGTAAGTATAATGAATAGAAAAAATATTAAGAATTAAATTAAAGTAATAGTAAAATAGAGTAATGGGTAGATATCACAATAACTCATAAATAAAAAGGTGAAGTAATAACAAAATGAGTTAATAGTAATAACAATAGCTAAAGATGTTTCTAGAACTATTTAGTTATCTTGTTATCATTCTTGGTAGATTTTTGTTTGCGTGAAGTTACATTTTTACCTTTGATCATCATTCACTTCATATATAAAAAGTTGTTTCTAGAATTATTTATTTTTCTTGCTATCTTTTCTAATAGATTTTTGTTAGAATGAAATTACATTTTTGGGATTGGTCATCTTAAATGCAAATATATCATCCTATTCATTTTTATTTGTAAAGTTACTTTTTAACATCTTTTTCTTTAATTTTAATCTAATATATATTATTAGGTTTTATCACACTAATTTCTTTTTAAGTATATTAATTAGAGCCAAAATAAAAGTGAAAATAATTAATTCATAATGAATTTTTATATTAAAGTAGGCATTTTTGATAAGCATAATGAATAGAAAAAATATTAATAATTAAACTAAAGTAATAGTAAAATAGAGTAATGAATAGGAATTACAATAACTCACAAAAGAAAAGAAAGTGAAGTAATAACAAAATAAGTTAATGGTAATAACAATAACTAAAGATGTTTCTAGAATTATTTAATTTTCTTGTTATTATTCTTGGTAGATTTTTGTAGCGTGAAATTACATTTTTAACCTTGATCATTATTCACTTCATATATATAAAGATGTTTCTAGAATTATTTATTATCTTTTTTAATAGATTTTTATTATAATGATATTACATTTTTACCCTTGATCGTCCTACCACTTCACTCTTCTATATAATAGAAATTTGGGACCCAATTCGTGGTTAGAGCACTGCTTTTGTGAAATTTAAATGTTGAAAATTAAATTTAAAAGATAATTCGTCGTAGTGGAATAACTTTGGAAGAAGTGAATTTAAATTTCGAATTTTATTTTTATTTTTGTATGTGAAAATATTGAAGTGTTGATTAGACTTATTGGAATAGTTAATACAAGGAAATTATCTATAATATTTGAAGTTATTTGATGGAGATTCGATTAACTGATTTTGAATAACAATTGTAATTTAAAATCACAAAAAAAAAATATACGTCTTAATAGTTAACAAATTATTGTATACTTTGATAATATATTTCATGAATATATATTATTTTGTCGTATTCAAACTGGTATCAGTTCAAATTATTTCATGAATAAATTATTTTATTTTGTGTTGTTTATGCTTTTTGTGAAAATAATACTTTGAAGTCTTATCAGTAAGTTTGAAAACTGAAGACTACTATTGTCAACATTTTCTCCTCTTTAAATAGGGATATATAAATGATTGTTATTGCATTTGCCTTCTCTCTCCACATGCTACCATTAAAGTTTTCAAAGACAATTGAGGAGAAATTTTGGGCCGGGTTTTCACCTATTAAAGTTAGGGATAAAGGTCTGAAAAATATTTCAATTATAGTCGAATTTGTTGTTGCGATACTAAATTTTCATGAGGATCTATTACCTCCCTAGACTATTTAATATCGTATTTTAAACATATATATTTGTCCACATGGACA